TACTGTGGGAGTTTGAAGGTTTTCTGGGAAGAAAAGTTTTCGCAGAAAAAAAAAAAAAAGAAGATGACTGTTTGCGCGCGCGGTTTTATAGAACCGGAAATCGGCGGTTAATAAACCGAAGGGATGCGATTGATATTCATTTTGGTTGGGTCGCAATTGTTCGGTTAACATGAACCGAATGGTTGCGATTTTTCAATTAAAGTTTTAATAAAAATTTTCCCCAAAAAGAATAGTCTTTGATGGACCTTTGGTCCAATTGCCCAAGCCCAAGCCCAAGCCCAAACCCGTGTCGAGCCCGGCCCGATTCGGTTCGGTTTGGCGTGCGTGTGGGCTTCCTTTGGTTCCTTCATGGTGCATGTGTGTCCTTGTAATGTTTTGAACTCTACACAAGCTCACCCTTATATATACACTACCAAAATGTCTCAAACTTTAGATGTGGGACATTTTAAGTGTGCATTCATTAAACCAACATAAAGCTTTCCCATTTAGCCCAAAAACCTTATCTCATTTCACCTTCATATTTTAAACCCATTTTTCATACCCAAATGTCTATAACAAGCCCATTTGATTTTAATAAAAATTGGTTCCAACAAATACTTGGCTAAGATTTCCAATGACATTTGATTTACAGGGATCTCTCGTCCAATAATTTAACAGGAAGCATCCCAACAGAGTTCTTCTCAATTCCAACATTCGAGTAAAATCTCTTTTTTTCTCTTCTCATATATCTACTTAAGTTACTGTGACTTCTTTGTAGTATAATCACCTTTTGTGATTTCTTCAGTTTTTCAGGGACTAATCTCATATGTGGTAAAAGCTTGAACCAGCCTTGTTCTTCGACTTCTCGTCTTCCAGGTTCTTCTTCATCCATTTCACAATCTTTTGCTTCTTTTTCACTTACAGAATTAACTTAGCATCTTTAAGTGCAGTCACATCCTCCAAGAAGAAGCTAAGAGACATCACTTTAACTGCAAGTTGTGTTGCTTCTATAATCTTATTCATTGGAGCTATGGTTATGTACCATCATCATCGCCTTCGCAGAACCAAATACGACATCTTTTTTGATGTAGCTGGTAAAAAAACTACTCAAAAATCTCATTTGATCACTATGACTCTTAAACCAAAATCCTTTCCTTGTGAAAATGCAGGTGAAGATGATAGGAAGATTTCTTTTGGACAGCTAAAAAGATTCTCTTTACGCGAAATTCAGCTCGCAACAGATAGTTTCAACGAGAGCAATTTGATCGGACAAGGAGGTTTTGGTAAAGTCTATAGAGGTTTGCTTCCAGACAAAACAAAAGTTGCCGTGAAACGCCTTGCGGATTACTTCAGTCCAGGAGGTGAAGCTGCATTCCAAAGAGAGATTCAGCTAATAAGCGTCGCGGTTCATAAAAATCTCTTACGCCTAATTGGCTTCTGCACAACATCTTCCGAGAGAATCCTTGTTTATCCATACATGGAAAACCTTAGTGTCGCATATCGACTAAGAGGTATTACAACA